GCGGAAGGAGCGCGAAGACCTGGCCAAGGGGCTGGAGGAGCGCAAGCGGCAGGTGGAGCAGATGCAGATGCAGGTGGAAGTGAAGCGCTCGGCGCTGGACACCTGCCTCAAGGCCAAGGTGTGCCGCGGGCGGGACTCAGTGAGACCATCTGGAGACTTTAAAAGTCATTAGGGCCGAGAATTTAACTCAGTGGTTCTGTTGCCTGCCTTGCAAGCACAAGGTCCCGAGTTCGATCCCCGCTATGTAAACGGAGCTGGGGACGTGTTCAGTGTGACGGCCCCGGGTTGGATGTGTACGGAGTCTGGGCTGGCTGCGGGGAAGGCTCACTAGCGCTGGGGTTGGGGCTCAGGTGCGGCTTTAGGGCTCAGGGGTCCGAGGTCGTTCGAGAGCTGGCGTTTGGGGCCGGGGGGGCATTGGTGGGCAGAGCAGGTGGCTTCCATCTCGAGGGCACCGGCCGGGTGGCCCCTGCGGGGACACTGAAGCAGGCGCGCTCCACGGAGGCCCCAGCCCCTCTGTCTCTGAATTGGGGCCGAGGGCCAAGGAGCAGCAACCTTTCTGGGGCTCAGGCCCAGGGTCCCTGGCTCCACCATTCTCATCTTCCTCCCACAGTCGCAGCCGCTGTCCCCGCCTCGCATGGGGCTCGCACCCCCCAACCAGCCGACCCCCATTGGTGAGTGAAGTGAGGGTGGGCAGGGCGAGGGCGGCCCCTTCCCCGCAGGGCACAGTGCAACCCGCCGCTCCCTCCGCAGACTCAACCAGCCTGGAGGAGTTCAAGAAGAGGATCCTGGAGGGTCACCAGCTGTCTGTGCTCCGCCCGGCCAAGTAAGACTTCAGAACAAGGGGGCGGCTAACATGCTGCTTCCTTCACTGCGTGCCTGTGGTGTGCCCAGCAGAAGGAGAAGTAACCAAGACCACCCAGTTCTGTCTTCCTGATGCTCTCTGACCCTCCTGCCTCAGCCTCCTGAGTGCTGGGATGACAAGCAGATGCACCGTGGGGGCACCTCTATCATCCTGGCTACTCAGAAGGCCCAGGCAAGAGGATCACAAGTTAGAACTCAGCCTGGGTAACTTAGGGAGACCCCATCTCAAAATTGATAAAAGGGACTGGGGTGCAGCTCGGGGGTAAAGTCCTTGGTTCAAATCCCAGCACCAAAATAAACAGAAAGAGCAGGCTCTGGAGTCAGGGCCTGGTAGCTGCCTACACACACAGGGTGTGGGCACGAAGGGCATCCGGCACCTGCCAGGCCTGGCTCGGGACCGAGGACACCCAGTGCATGAGTCAGCCAGGTGACCCGAGCCCGCCCAGAATGCCCTGTGCTCTGCCCGGTCCCCACTGCCCTGACGGGCCAGGACACAGCGACCTGCAGGTGACCCTTAGGGTGGAGGCTCAGGAAGGGCCCCAAAGGTCGTGTGCCCAACTCTTCATCAGCCTCGGGTGGCCTCTCAGCCTGGTCTCTGTCCTGGAGAACCCTCACCCGCCCTCCGCAGCAGACAGCGCTCCCCTCCCCAGCTTGGCCCACAGCCCTGGCAGCAAGGAAAGGGCATCTATTATTATCCCCATTTCTCAGAGGAGGGAACTGAGGCCCTGCTGGGGTCACATGCAGGACCGGGCTCCCAGCCCAGGACTGTCCGGCCCAGCTGAGAACCGGGAAAGCTCTTGACATTGTTTACCCCAGATGACGTCCCAGCAAGAAAACAATGAGCACTTAGGCCTGGCCTCCTGTCTCTGGCCTCAGGGCCGCAGGAAGGGCTCTGGCCCGTCCGCTTTCCCCTGGGACGGGGCTGGGGCGGGTTTCAGCTAGGCACCGTGGGCCACACAGCCCTTACATCCTCAGCATGCCTTTGTTTTTGCAAACAAGCTCCCTACATTGCCCAAGCTGGCCTCAAACTGTTGGGCTCAAGTGATCCTCCTGCCTCAGCCTCTCGAGTAGATGAGACCACCCACAGGCATGTGCCATTTCCCCAGCTCCACATCCAGTTTCTGGATGCCCCACATCCCTGGTTATAAACCAAGGGCAGATCCAGAGCCCAGCAGCAGCCGGACCGGAGCCCAAGGCCTTTAGAGTTCTTCTGAGTTTTTGATTGAGAACTGAATTGTATCTGGAACGCACCCATCTGGTTATCCAACTCTGAACTTCTTTTTTCTCCCTCTTGTTCAGTACTGGGGCTGAACCCAGGGCCTTTGCACTGAGCTGCATCCCCAACCGTTTTTGATTTTCATTTAGAGACCAGGCCTCACTCAGTTATGTTGATCAGGCTGGGCTCAAACTTACCATCCTCCTGCCTCAGCCTCCCAGAGTGCTGGGATGACCGCAGTTATAAAACAGCCTTGGGGCTGGGGATTTAGCTCAGTGGTTCTGCTGCCTGCCTCTCAAGCACAAGGTCCTGAGTTCAATCTCCAGTACCAAAAAAAAAAAAAAAATAAAAAAAAAAAAAAAAAAAAAAAAAAAAAAAAAAAAATTAGCCATGTACAGTTGCCCTCACCTATAGCCTCCATTAAGGCAGGAGGATTGCTTGTGCCCAGGCGTTCGCGGCTAACCTGGACAACAGAGTGAGCCCCTGACTCAGAAAAACTAAAACAAAATTCACAATTGATATAAAAAAATACTAAGTGAGACTTGGTGCAGGCAGTATGGGTGGAGGTGGGCAGGTCAAAAAAATCAAGATGTAAAAGATGCACCAAAGAAAAAGACTGAAAGAGAAAATAGAAAGGGTGGATGGATAAAGGAAAAGAGGTCGAGGTCGCTTGAGGAGGTTTCTTTGGGGTCCAGATGGCTACCTGGAGGTGACCTTTGAGCAGAGACCTGAAGGGGATGAGGGAGGAGCCCGGGGACCCCGGCCAATACACAGGCTACCTTCTGGCTGTAGGCGGGACTTCAGATGCCTTTTTTTGCCTTCTTTTTTTTGAGGCAGGGTCTAATTTCCCGATCGGGGTTTGAATTTGTGATCCTCCTGCCTCAGCCTCCCAGAGCTCTTGAATGATGGCCATAGAGTTGGAGACTGAGGGCCCCAGGCATTCACAGGTCCCCACTGGTGGCTCTGGGAAAAAAAGCGCGAGGAAAGTGGGCGACTGGCCAAGCGATGCCCCGGGGCCTGTGACACTGGGGAAGTGGGTTCCAGCGGAGAGGAGGGAGGGAGTGTGCCTGGGGCCCCAGGGAAGACCGGGAAGGAAGGGAGGGGATGGAAGAGACTGGGCTGCAGCCCGGCCCCACCAGGAAGCAGACCTGTGCCAGGCAGGCGGACAGCGACCCACCCCACCGTCCCCTCCCTCCGCAGTGGCTGAGGAAGCGACCCGGGATGGAGGTGAGGACCCCGGGCCACCACGCTTCATCCTGCTGGCACTGCGCCTGCCCGCCCCACAACCCCTGATGGCGACGTCACATCCGCCACGGTGACGTCGCAGCAGCAAGCGATGACGTATGCACAGAGGCCTCCGCACACCGCTGTGGTGTTGTGTGCGGATGGTGCTTACTCCTCGCACACACCGGGAGTGAATGAACCGGGCAGGGACACACGCCGTGACACGCACGCGTTGCCCTTCACAGGCCACCGAGGCACCCGCAGCCCCTGGCTCCGCACCGCCCTGCATCCCGCCGCCCTCCCTCCTCCCACTTCCTTATCTCCCCGCTTGGAGGTGAGAACAGGAAACCATTGGCTGCCTCGAGAATTTCCAAGGCCCCCGAGAGTTTCTAGACCTTCCTTGGGAGTTTCTAGGTTCCCCCTTGGGAGTTTCCAGGGTGCCCTGGAGTTTCCCACGGAGACAGACCCCCCCACAGGCCCCGCATGCACCCCCCTGCCTGTGGCCAATCCAGATACTAGCGTCATTTAATAAATACTATAAACCCTTCTCAGGGCGCCAGGGTCATGATCTCCACGGGGCCACGAGGGAGTAAAGTCTGGAGAGGAAAGGCAGGGGCCTTCCCCAGAGTGCTTGGCCAAGACCCAGGGGTCTGGGCAAAGAGGGGCACGGCCCCAGGGCTCCGCGGGAGTGCAAAGATGGAGGCCGGTGTCGCAACCTCCGTGTGTAGCTTTGCTTTTTCTAGGATGGTGACAAATCCCCCAGACAAAGGACGGTTGCTGGTGTCACAGGAAGTGAGCCGCAGGACGTCCGCTGGCCGGGATGGGTCGAGGCAGAGGTCCCCCTTTGGGTCTGTGCTGCTTGGGGCAGGGTGACATCTGTGGATCTGCTGTCCCTGAGTTGGGCGGTGGCAGAGGGAAAGTGAATGCGGGTCGGCTGGGGAAGCACTAAGAAGCCAGCACACCAGCATCTGTAGAGAGCAAATCCTTGCCTGGCATCATCCCAGCACCCTGGGAGGCTGAGGCAGAGGGGTTGCAAGTTCAAGCCCAGCTTGGGCAACTTTGTAAGACCCTGTCACGAAACAGAAAAAGGGCTGGGGATGTAGCCCAGTGTGAAAGCACTGGTTCCATCCCCAGTACCAAAAACAAAAAGAAACAAAGGAAGACAAAAACAAAAAAAGAAAACTGCAAGTCCCATAGTGCCCCGATAAAAAAAAAAAAAAGTTCCATGCCAGGCATGGTGGCGCACACCTATAATCCCACCACTTGGGAGGCTGAGGCAGGAGGATCACTGCAAGTTCGAGACCAACCTGGGCTACATAGTGAGTTCCAGTTCCATCTCAACTACATATGAGACCCTGTCTCAAAACACCAAAACAAAACAATACCAAACAACAAGAAAAGCGAGTTCCGTAAGAAGATGCTAGGCTCCTATCCCTAAGTACTCCAGGAAACAGAGTATGAGGACCAAGTTTCCAGGTCATGATGGGCTCCAAACCCCTTACCCAGAATAGAGTAAATGCAAAAGTTCCTTTCTGAAAAAGTCCATTCTATGGGGCAGTTTCTCTGTGCTTCTGTTCCTCTTTTTAAGATGTTAAGTTTCTTTTTGTGTGATTTAATTAATATAGGATTTAGTTATAGCTGATATAGGAATTAATTATAGTTGACATAGTTATATATCTTAGCAAAAAAATCAGATAGTCTAATGAAAAGAGGAATTGTCTCATGAAGGCCTTAGATAACTTTCCAATACGTACCCTCCCAGCACCCCATAATAAATTTGCAAATGTAAGCATTAGATCATGTTCCAATGTGCCTTCCCGATGCCCCTTGATGATAAGGGAAAACTAAAAATAGCAGCAGAAAAATCCTATATAAACTTGGTTCAAAGTTGGGTCTGGGCTTTCAGTCTGAAGCCGCTGTGACGGTGACACCCGAGAGTCCAGGCGCGAGCTTGCGATAAACTCCTCTTGCAATTGCATCGGACCTGACTCCTTGGTGGTCTTTGGGGACTTCGCGACTTGGGCACAACAAGAGCAAATGGCCATCGAGGGGAAACAGTCTAAAGCTGAAGCGAGGCCCACAGCCCACCCCCTCCCTGGCGTCCCACCCTGGAGGGGTGAGTCAGTCAGGGCCCCGCGGCAGCGCCACTTTGGAAGGCAGGCAGGGGACAAAGCAATATTTCCGGGATGCGGAAGCCAGCTCGAGAGACGCTTCCCGCAGGAAACACTTGGCGGGGCCTCAAGCCAGGCGGGGTCAGCGGGTGGCCTGGGCAGGACAGTCGGGGGCTCCAAGGAAAAGGGGGCGTCTCTGGCTCGCAGCCTGCTGCTCTGAGTCCAGCGTCCTTGGGAGCAGCGGATGCTGGCCAGGCGTGACCTGGGGTTCCCATCCCCACCCCGTCCACCTCTGCCCCGACTTTTTCCATCCAAGAAGTGGAAATAGTAATAATAGTAACTTAAAGCCCAGGTGCAGTGTGCACGCCTGTCATCCCAACACTCCAGAAGGCTGAGGCAGGAGGATCCTGAGCTCAAACCCAGCCTGGGCAACTTAGCAAGACCCCGCCTCAGAATAAAACAATAAATATAAAGGGCCAGGGATTTGGCTCAGCGTCGCTTCACAAGCAAAAGGTCGAGTCGAATACCTGTACCAAAAAGGCGGGGGGAGGGGGATGCAGCTCAGTGGAAGACACTGGAACCCATCCTCTCTCTGTACTGCTCCCTCCAAAAAATTATCAGTAACAACCGCAACAAGCATTCTGATCTCCCAGGTCCGCTGGGCGCAGCCCCCTCCTGCCCCGCCTCTGCCTGAGTTCCCTGGCGCGTGGGGCAGACATGGGTGAATCCCGGCGGGGAGCGCTGGCAGTCCCTAACCTGGGGGACTTCCTGCGCCTCTATAAATAACCCCTTGCTTCCCACGAACACCTCGCCCTTCTTGGAAAAAGTAACCAGAGCCAAGCGCTGGGTCCTGCGGGTGCCAGACCCAGAGGGGATGCAGCAGGCCGAGCAGGCGCCTGCGCAGTAGCATCCCGCCCACCCGGGGTCTGAACCCTGCTCCGAGCTGCCTGGCGTCCAGGCCAGCACTGGCTGCAGCGCCCACCCAGCCCCGACCCACGTTCTGCTTTCTTCACCAGGCCTCAGTTTATCTCTGTGCAGAATGGGCTTAGCAGTAACACCCACGACCCTTCTCAGGAACCCCCAGGAGGCTGCACCCCGACATGTGGACATGCATCCTGCCAGGCAGATGTGTCACAATAACCTCTGAAGGAACAGGGAGCCTTCCGTTGGGAATTCTGGGTTGGTTTGTTTGTTTTTGAGACAGGGTCTGGCTAAGTCACTAAGTTTCTCAGGAGGCTGGGGCAGGGGGATGTCGGGATTTGAGCCCAGCCTGAGCCATTTAGCAAGACTCTAGAATTAAAAAGGCTGCAGTGCGGCTCAAAGGTGAGCCGGGCTGGGTTCCAAGTTGTCACCCCTGCCTCAGCAGGTGGACAGGCATGCTGAGCCTCAGTTCCTGTCCTTCTCAGGGGAGCGAGCCACTCGTACACTGCCACTAGGTGAAGGTCAGTGTCCTGCAAGAATAGATGGTGGGAGTTTTGTTGTTCTTTGGGGGAAGCATCAGGAATCGAACTCAGGACCTTATGCTTGCAAGGCAGGGGCGGTACCACTGAGCTAACTCCCTCAGCGCACTGTTCACTTTTGAGACAAGGTCTCATTATGTAGCGTAGGCTGGCCTCAAACACAAGGCGATGCTCCTGCCTCAGCCTCTGGAGTGCTGGGATTACAACCATGTGCCACAGGCTCTAAGCAACGTAGCTTTGTTTGCAGTGCTGGGCGTGGAACCCAAAGTCTGGAGGGTTCTAGGCAAAAGCTCACCACTGAGCCGAACTTGCTGAGTAGCTCAGGATGGGCTCGAATCCCGAGATTCCTCCGACCACCCTGCCCCCCGCCCACCTCCGCGCCCCAGACTCCTGAGCAGTTAGTTCTCTGCATGCAAACTCCCCAGCGCTGTGGCCTTCCTTAGGGCACGGCGCCCTCTGCTGGCCGCTTACAACCGCATCGCGCTCCCAGCATCTTTAGAAGAGCTGCCTACAACTGGGCATCTCCACCCACTTGTTTTTATGTATTTTTTATTTTTTTGTTTGTTTGTTTTTTAAGATAGAGCTTCGTTGGTGTACACCTGCAATCCCAGCACTCGGAAGGCTGGGGTTGGAAGATGGCTGGGAGTTCGAGGCGAGCTGGGGCTATGTGGCGGGGGGTCCTGTCTCCAAAATAGAAAACCCTAAGACAAAGTCACATATTCCGTTGACAGGCACACAAGTACACAAAGACTCAGACAAGTGTTGAAAACACATGTGTTCAGGGAAGACCCAGGCGAGGTGGCCTGGAAGATCCTGGGTGCAGCGTGTCGCGATCACCTGAAGCTTCATACTCCTTTGGTGTTTGTAAAACAAAGTAAAATGCTGCGAAGCTGGGACTGGGCTCAGGGGTGAGCACTCGCTGAGCAGGAAAGGGACCGTGATTTCCTTTCCCAGCACGAAAAACAAAACGAAAATCAAAACACAAAACCTCTGAAACAGACCCTGCCTGAGTGTGCTGTGCACCTGTGATCCCAGCTACCTGAGGCTAAGGCAGGAGGCTCTCAAGTTGAGAGCCAGTCTGGGGTGACTTTTAGCAAGACCCAGATACAAAAGCGGGCAGATCCCTGAGATCTTCCTCTCACCAGACCAGGTCCCAGCATTCAGCCAAAGGAAGCCAAGCCGGCCCAGCAACCCCAGAAAGCCCTTGGTCAGGTCGAGTGCTGAGTTGGGGTCCCGGGTGCTGGGCCCCTGGGCGCCCCTCACTTGCCCACGCAGAAGTCCTGAAAGATGACATCTAGGATCTCCTGGCTGCCCCCTCCACCAGTGAGCTGGATCAGGTGCCTCCGGGCAACACGCAGGGCCTCGGCTGCCAGGGCCAGGTCCACTGCCCCCTTGTAGTGGCCCAGCGCATCCAGACAGCACTGCAGATGGTGGTGGTGCCGTGCCCTCGTCAGGAGTGGTGGGCCTGTGCTCGGGTCCCCGCACCTGGGAGGAACAACAGTGGTCTCGGGATCTGCATACACCTTGCAAACTGGGCAAGGTTAGGTCAGGTGTGGCACTGCACACCTATAATCCCTGCACTGGCAGGGCTAAGGCAGGAGGATCGCAAAAGTTCCAGCCCAGGTACAAGATCCCAATGATGAATGTAACTGTACTGTATACCTAAAATGAACCAATAAACTCAATGAGAGAAAAAAAAGTTCCAGCCCAATCTGGGCAACTTAATGACTGGGGCTCAATCCCCGATATTCAGCAAATAAATACAGTGAGTGCGCTTGCTCCGTGTTGCAGACAGACACAGGCTAAGGCAGTTGGGACTCACAGGACAGCCAGCTCCTTCTGCAGGGCCGCCAGCAGGCCGTCCAGCCCCGCCCCGGTCAGGCAGGACAGCAGCAGGTGGGGGTGCGGCCCAGGCCCTGGGTACGGACCCTCAGCGGGCAGCAGGTCGGATTTGTTCAGCACCAGCAGCAGGCGCTGGCCTCTCTCGGTTAGGTCCCGGCGTGCCAGGGGGTCCACAACTGTGTCCAGGAAGTCACGCGACGATGGACTGGCCAGGTCAGAGGCGTCCAGCACGGCTAGAACCAGTTCGGCTTGCTCCAGCCTGGGAAGGGAGAGAGAACCAGGGGGTCCAGGGAGCAGAGGGAGGGGCGGGGCCGAGCGAGGAGTAGCCAGGGAAAGGCCTCGTGGCAGGGCCAGGCCGGGACCGAGCCTATTCTGGAGGGGCGGGGAGGAGGAGAGATCGCCCACTTGAGGGAGGCTGGCAGCCTCTTCCTAAACCCAAAGCGCATGGAAAGCAAAGTTATGCACCAGAAAGTGCGGAGGCG